GTAATCAACTCTAAAAGGATAAGGGTCATGATGCTGACAGCAAGATACCTGTGTGTAGTTTCTGAGGCCAGTGGCTCGTCTGTCTGGTGCACAGTGCATTCGGGTCGAATGGCCTTGACGGGGTCACAATTGTAGGTCAGGTACTGGGCCCTGTACTCGCTCATGACACAGGGCCCCCAGGGCAATCGTTGCTTGGGCTTGTGTGGGCATTTGTGACGCCTAAAAAGGGACAGTGTACCGTCAGCGTAATCTTATATGGCAATGACCGGCTCTCAGTTAGATGGCTAAAATATTGAAAAGCCAAAACTGTCTTGTAGAGCCGCCTAAATATCTACTCCCCGTCCAACTGTCTTTCGGAACTGGTGCTGAAACATTTAATTCTTGGTTAACGAATGTAAATGACTATTTAATTGTTTTAATGAGCTAAGTAAAATCGACTCCATAAACTCTTGTTGCTCAGGCAACTGATGCATATCGATGGAAATTTGACCTTATATTGGTGGAATTTAACGAAAAGGGGTGACCTTATATTGGCGGAATTTAACGAACAGCGAAAGCCAGGCTACTGAAAAATATAAAAATTAATTATTATTTCTGCAAAAATTCCCATTTTACGATTGAAAAGTCGTATTGGCAAACAATTGTTTTCGGTCATTAATCATCAGGCTGGTACATGACATGGGGAATTAAAATGGACAGTTAATTGCAGCGTTTATATAATCGTCAGGTCGGGGAAGGGTATTATTAGGTGGATGAGTGTAATTAAGCACCTGAGTTTTCCCTCGTTTCCTGAATGCGGGCGCCCGTGCGGGTAGGACGTTAGAGGTAACAAAGAGGAGAATAGATCGACCTCAAGCTCAATCCTCGCCCACCTACATGATACGAACCACCAAGTGGACACGAGAGATGCCTTTCGGATCATATACCACACGCCGGCACCTTACTCCATAGGCCTGTGCAAAGAAGTGTTAGCCACTGCAGAGGCAGTGGCAATCAGGTTAGCAAAACCCAGTCTATGCTGTCAAAAGACGCTGGTACAAGCAATCTGCCTTCCTTGGCCGACTGCACGCAGAAATCCCAAATCTCCTGAAACCACGTCGTCCGGAACCACAGAAAACGAAGCCACAGAGAATAGTCAAGTGCAAGCTGCGCGACTGACATACAGACCTCAACCCGCTGACTATGAGGACGTCCCCCTGTCTTCCCTGCGCATCGCAACCAACGTCCTACCCGCACGGGCGCCCGCATTCAGGAGACGAGGGAAAACACAGATGCTAACTTACACTCACCCGACCATTACCCCCTTCCTCCCCTCCCCCCCTTCAAGCTGACGATCATATTAACGCTGCAGTTAACTGACCATTTTTATTCTCCATGCCATGTACCGGCCTGATAATGAATGAACGAAAACAATTGCTTGCCAATACGACTTTTAATTTATTATTATAGGTCAAGGGCAAATAGAACTTCTAAAGACAGTCTTACCAAAGAAAGTATAAGGTGGTTAAAACATGAAAATAGGGAAGGTCATCAAGGATGCTGCCGCTGAAGCTGACCTTCAGGAAAATCTTTGCGACTAAACGAACTGACCCACCGATGGTTTCTATGCTTCAACTCGAGCGAATGTACTCTGCTGAGTCTGGGAAATCGATACGCGACCCTACTACCTAAACGGAATCGCACTCGGAAAAGCAGAAATACAGAAGGTTCTCGGCATCTGTATGATAGAGAATCTAAAGCCTTTTACAACATATTGTAAGGCAACTAATGCTGCAGCTTCAATGGCGTACGCCATCAAGCAGACCTTTACCGTTATTGATGAGGACTTTTTTAAAACTCTTCCATACTTTCACGAGGCTTCACTATGAATATGCGATCAAAGTCTGGAGAGCCTGGATGCAGCAGAATAACGACATACTTGAAGAGTGCATCGGCGAGCCACGAAATTATTAAGAGGCTAACGAGCACTGCCATATGAGATCTGACCAACTAACCTAAATCTATATCTTCTGAGTTATAGGCAGTTACGCGGAGACATGATATAAACTTTCCGTATCGTGCATGGCTTGGACTGCGCCCTCCTATGCGACGACCTTTTTCACCTTGCCACTACAACTAATCTCCGAGGACATCCCTTCAAAATAGGTGTGCCCCAAAGACGACTCGATGTGAGGAAATATTTTTTCTCTAACCGGGTCATGGAACCGTGGAATAACCTACCCGAGGCGATTTTTATGTCCCAATCTGTGGCGACATTGAGAGCCCGACTAAACATCCATATGCTGCAGCACAAAATGGAGTATTGGACTAATTATCTTTAAAACCTCAGCGAACTATGTGA